CCCTGTTTCTTCATATAGCTCTTATTTAAAAAAAAAAAAAAAAAGGATTAGTATAAAAGCGCACAGGGAAGAGGAGAAAAGGAGAAGGAGAGTTATCGAGAGAAGGCCTCTCAGAATTAGCTACCGCCTTTTTGGAAATGGTCCAGAAACCGAAACGCCTACGCACGCCGCGCATTTACGAGCTGGACTTGGCCACAATTCTGCAGAGCGTGGTCAGCAGCTGTTCCATAGACCCCTGGGCTTATTGAAGCTCATGTTACATGAAAGAGAACTGGGTCTTGGTGAGCCTTTCACTACAGAAACAGCAAAACCATTTTTTTCGGCATTAGAAAGCCATTAGCCAATGTGAAAATTAAAAACAGGACAACTAGGCCAAACACACTAGCTGGCAGAAGGCGACATCATCAAATGTCAATTTGTAAGATTTACACTTGAGTCATTATGATTCTAATAAACAAAAATCATGAAATAAGTGGCCCTTTATGCAAAAAGTTGTCTAAACACAAACTAAAACTTTATAAGTTCACAAATTTCAATTTCACACGGTAAGGACCCCATCAGAGCAAAAGCTCCAGGTGACGTGAAGTCTAATGCCCATGTTCTGATAATCCCACCTTGTCTCTCATCCTACTCCATGCCATCCTCTCTCCAGTGGAGAAAATCCCATGCCAATTGCTCATGCCAGGAATATGAAAGGGCCTGGAAATTACCAAATAACTCCAGAAGAAAGAGGGTTTCCCTTCCATAGACAATATCTAGAACCAGAAATCAGGGTCTAATCACTACAGTCTAACAGGTCTAGTATTAGGAAAAAAGAAAAAGGGACCAGAACCAAAGAAAGTTGCCTAACACGACCCCATGGCACCAAGGAAAAGATGAAAAGTCAGATGTGAACTTCAAATCCAGCTCTGCTGCCAACTCAGGCTGTGACCCTGAGCAAGCTATTTAGCCTCTAGAAACCTCCATGTCCTCATCTGTAAGTGCGGCAGGTGATGGCACCGACTTCATAGGGCTCTTAGGAAGAATTTAAGAGATGATGCATGTAAGTAAGTTTAAGAGATGATGCATGTAAGTCAGTTGACGCATTGCCTGGCTCAACTAGAACACTTAAGAATGGGACAGGCCATCTCCAGGTGCCGCCTGGTCACCCACCTGCAGTGGATGGTTGTACCAAACTGCTCCACCTTCCTGATCAAGAGCAACAAGCAGACCTAGACCACTGAGCTCAATAACCTGAAGGCCTGCAACTCCTTTCCGCTATCACCCACTGATTCACCACAAGACTGTGGGCTTGGAGTGGGCAGCCAACGGCAAGGGTGTGATAGTGGCCAGGAAGCAGTGATCCGGCCCACTGAAGCTGGCCACCTCTTACATGCGGACCACCATCAACAAGAATGCCCAGGCCACCCTCAGCAGTATCACATGGTCTGCAAGAACAAGTACCGCCCTGACCTGCTGCGCAAGTCTGCCCTTCACAGAGCCCTGCCTGCACCATCCCGCGCAGCCAGAAGCCTGACACAGAGGAAGTTCAAGGCCCCACTAAGAGCTCCTGAGGCCCCCCACCCACCGCCAGAGCAGTAAAAAGCAACTTCTTTTCAGGGAAAAAATAAATGGGACCAAAAAAAAAAAAAAAAAAAGACAAAAACAAAAACTAAAACTCTGCTAGCATAATTATCTTACCCCACTATCTTTGTATAAGGCCACAGAATTTGAGTTCTTTCACCTGAATTTTTCTCATCCCAATAAATGCCACCGCTCAAACACCGGCAAAACCCTAAGCATCACCCTTGAGTCTCAGTTTTTTTTTCTCACAGTAATATCTAATCCTTCAGCAAGCCCGCTATCTCCTAAACCTTCTACATTCTCCCTCTCCATCTCTTGAGTTCAAAACAGCATCACTTCTCACCGGGCTTACTGAAATAAGCTGTCTGGACAATCGTTTCCATTTATGTTTCCTATGGACTTTTATCCACCCAGGAAGACTCCCCCTAATGTAGCTTTCCACAGAGCGATCTTTTTAAAAGCTCATAAGATGTACTCTCTCTCTTCTAAAACCCTCCACAGGCTTTTTACCACGTTTAAGAAACAAAGAAACAAAACTCACAGACACACAGCCTCTACGGATCTCCATCACCTGCACTCTGCCCCTTAGCCAGCAAGCACCTCCCATCCTGCAAGTCTACCAAACTCGTTCCTCTACCAGACCCTTGCCTCAGCTGTCCCCCACCTAGAAAGCCTTTGCCTCAGTCTTCGCACAGCAGTTCCCTTCTCATCGTTCAAGGTCACTTTCAAGGTCATGTCCTCTGTCTCTTCCATCTAGCTGTTCTGTCACTTGTCATCACATTATTTTAATATTAAATTTTGCTGTTGTGGGAGCTTTTTGTTAGTTTTAGTTTTGTTTGTTTGTTTGTTTGCTATAGGGCATGTGTGCTTGCTAGAGAGAAACTCAGAGTAAGTGAGAAATCACCCCTCCAGGAAGGATGGCCACGCAGCAATCCCTTCTCCTCCATTCTCTTCTCAGGATTTTGGGTGTGCATGCACACACACCCAGCATTTTTTCAAGCTGCCAAATCTAGGACTCGAACTACAAATTTAGCCATGTTGGATCCAGCTGCCTTAATCTCCATGCCAAGTGTGCTGGCCCCCTAATATTTTAATTTTCTGCATAATATGGACCACTGGCTGCTATTTTTCATGTGAACCCATTGCCTTGGGTTCCCATTTCTTCCCCTACCTGGTTCACTGCTATATTCCCAAAGCCTAACTCAGTGCCTGGTGTGCAATAAATAGTTGGTGAATTTAATTCATCAGTCCATTCTCTAGGGGCAAGAGAAGAGAGAAAGGGCCACATGCCTGACTTGTCCTGTGACTTTCCCTTTGGAAAATGTACTGTGTCCTGTGCACTTCAGGAATTGGGGTGGGGGCCGGAATCGGCCCCTGCAAACCTAAGCCCTAGTGCTGATTTATGGGGGAATTTAGTAGCTGTAGCAAAAGTGAAGCAGTTTCAGGCACTTACCTTCACCTTGGGGTCCCAACTACTACATAACTGGTCACTTCTAGAGAAGTATGACTTGTAATGTGGAACAGAGGATTCAAAGGGATTCCAGGTGACAGCAGAGGCATGATTTACAAAGGACCCACACTTAGAGGCAGGTAGATCAGACCCACCCACCAGAATATACACAAGCACTGCTTAAGATAAATAAGAATCTATAGGCAGCTGAGGCCGTAGGAAGGCTGACAATCTCTGCCTGCAGGTCTTAAGAGAGGCCATCAGCCTTCCAAGCCCCTTCCTGATTTCCTCATAATGATATTCGGAATATCGCACAGCTGTTTGTTTTTTGTTTGTTTGTTTTTTGGGTTTTTTTTTCCCAAGGAAAAAGAAAACAGGAAACCTGAGCTCCATTATTTCACACCAAGACTTGAAAGTAAACTTAAAATTTCTTCAAAATTGTGTTTTGTACTTGGTAAACCTCAAGCAAACAGAACACTAAAAATACCACCTGTTTTCTCTTCCACTCCCCAAGGTACCATAATTATAACTTGACACAGGATGGAAAACTGTGACTTACCAGCTTCGATGCATTCTGGCTTCAGGCAGTACTCCTGTTTAGCTTGGAGACTTAAGAGACCTTGACTCACTGAAAAAACAGACCAAAATAAATGGCTGACTTGTAACAGACCACCCCACCATCGGGTAAACCACCACCAGGCACACAGGCAAGACATTTGATATCAGCTCATCTTTCTCAGTATCAGCATGGAATTCAAAAACCCAGTTGGCTCAGTGTCACAGACCCAGACTCTGGTCACTAACCAAGTAACCTCAGTGAGATTTTGGCTTCTCTGCAACTCAGTTCTCTCAGATGTAAAGTGAGTGGGGAAGTGGGTACACCAGTGTTCCTGAGTGTGGTCCCTAGAGCAGCAGCAGCAGCACCTGGAAACTTGTTAGAGCTGCAGCTTCTTGGGACCAGCAGATGGTGTAATGGTTATATCTCTGGACTCTCCCACATAGTGGACCACGGTTCAAGTCCCAGACCTGGTGCCATAAAATTCAGGCTAGGCACATATGCGTGCATGCCCAAAATCCCAAGAGGAGACTGGAGGAAAAGGGATGTGGTGTGGTCATCCCACCTAGAGGGGTGATTTCTCACTTTCTGTCTCTCTGGTAAGCACATGCACCCTATAGAAAAAATCTCTCTTAAAAAAAAAAAAGGAAAAGAAAGAAAGAAGAAAGAAAAAAGCTACAGCTTCTTGGCCCCACTCCAGATCTGCTGACCCAGACCCTCTGGAGAGGGGCTTGGCCATCTGTGTTCCATCAAGGCCCTCCCCTCCCCCGAGTGGATGCTAACTCACAGTCAAGTTTGAGAACTATGGTCAAGATGATCTCTAAAGTCTATTCCATCTCCTATTAGCTGTGGTGTAAGTCTCACATTTCAGATTTTATGTTTATAACTACACTCCCATCTTAAGGATGAGAAAATTGAAACTTTCAAACTATGTCATTTGGAACAAATCCAGAGCAGAAGGGGATAGCTAGCGCGTGTGGCATTTAGAGTTCTGGATCTTATCAAATCATCCATCCAGATATGACCAGAAGAGGGAGGAAGGGGTAAAAGTTTTACTGGATATAAGTCCATTGTCTAGCAACAGACTCACTGTCTGCCTGCCCCATACCCCACAGACCCTCCTGCCTGCAAGCCCAGCTGAGCTACTAGCATATGCAGCTTTGTGAACCAAGTTCCAGCTACTTGCAAAAAACAAAAGTTTGAAAATGTGCACAATGAAAATAGCTTTTCACCAATGGCTTGATTTCTCCATCTGGCTGGCAACATTACCTAAATGGATTTCTACAGACGTACAGAAGGGTGCCCTATTGGTGAACTCCAAAGTAGCACCTGGGCATTAACAGATGTGGGTCTAAGATTTCAAAAATATTTTTGGTAGCTGAGAGAGTTATGGGGGAAATCATTGCTGCTATTCTCTCTGAGCAGAATCAAAAAACCATTTGGAGATGTCACTGTGAGGAGATGAATGGTGGTAGATGCGAGGGGACCAAGGCCCTCCATGGCGTATTCCACAGAGAAGCAGATTTGGAAAGCCTGGCAGTGCCTATATTTCTGCTAGAGAAGGAAGACCTGGAGATCACTGGCCAGGGTGGCCATTTTTATTATTTACTAAGCCATGTTCTACAAGCAACCTGCCTTTCTCTGTTCTTTTCTCTGCGGCCCTCCTCCAAACAGCCTTTTCACCTGTATTACCTTACAGGTTCAAGAAAACTGCCTACAGAATATCTCAGGCCTACTTTTAAGAAAAGAAGTTTCTGAGTATAAAGTTGTGTTTCACTTTCTTTAAAAAGCAAAACGAAAGTGCAGTGAAAATAGATAGGGCAACAGAAAGAGACCTACAGAGTATTGCAATATGCCTGGGTGGAGGAACCATTGCAGAAATTTTTCCCTTTGGTCTATTTTTATATGCTTACCAAATGTTCTTTAATGAACATGTGTGCTTTTTTACAATGGAAAAATAAGCTTTATTATAAATAATAGTAACATTTTTATGATCCTGGATAATTCCATCTTGACACTAGCCTTATATTTCTTTAAAAAAAATAATGAAATGGTTAAAGACTTATTCTTTTGATGAAAAAATAATTGTTTGATCCAAACATCTAAGGAAGCAGAACTAAAATCAGATATTCAGATATCTTTAGCTGATGATTAGAAGAAAGGTTTTAAATTTAGTTAATTAATTGGAATACAAACAGACCCAACTTTTTAAGGAGGAGCATTATATCCATTGAGGGGGGTGTATTTTAAGATCCTGCCAATAAATAATGATCAACAAGCCCAGATCATATGATGGTATACATGAATAAAAGAAGGGACAATAAACAATATTTTTGACATAAAAAAGTTAATGTCACTTTTTACTGGTTAGGAGTCTTAAAAAAAGGGACTGGCAGGGGGCATGGTGGTTAAGGTGCTGGACTCCCACACAGCTGACTGTGGTTCAAGTTCTGGACCTGGCAGCTTGCTTTCTCACTTTCTCTTTCTTCTCTCTCTCTCTCATAAATATTTGAAGATAGATTATGAATAAAATTAAATAGTTCTTTTTAAAAAGTTTTTTAAAAAAACAACTTGAATAAAAACCAGGCACGTGCATGAGCACCCAAGATCCAATGGACTAAAGGCCTAGAGGAAGAGAATCAAATCTGGGAGAAGCAGACCTTGTGGAGGGTGCTCCTGTCTCTCTTTTGTTCTCTCTCTCTCTCTCTCATGCATGCAAATGCTATGAGATGAATAAAGAAAAAACGCTTAGATAGGAGTTTTGTTTCTCACTTTTGATTTCTCTATAGCCAGAAATGTCCTCAAAAAGTGATGGAGCTGCTCACAAATCAAGAGCATGAGAATGACCATCAAGGAGACATCAATGAACTAGGGCCCAGTGGTTAAATTCAGTGTACTGCCTGTTTCTGTATGACCCATGAGCTATGAATGGCTTTCATATTTTGTAATGATTGGAAAAAAAGAGGAATATGATTTTATGACATGTGAAGATTATATGAAATTCAAATTTCAGTGTCTGTAAGTCAAAGCACACCGACAGATGACCATGCGCTTTCATGTACTTACTGTCTAAGGCTGCTTTTGTGCTACAGCAGCAGGGCTGAGAGCTGCCACAGAGGCCGTACAGCCCACAGAGCTGAAAATACTTCTTTTCCACCTAGCACATATGTGTGCATGCCCCATATCTCAACAGAATGGAGGAACAAAAGAGAAGGGGTTACAATGTTTCCATTGCCCATGGGGGCGTGCTATCTCTCTCTCTCTCTCTCTCTCTGTCTTTGTCTCTGGAGAGTCACGCTCCCTCTGGCAATAAAAAAATGAAAATATTTACTCTCTGGCCCTTGACAGAAAAAGATTGCTGACCGCAGCATCAAAAAGCAGACTGTGGGGAGTAAAGAAAGGGGAAGGAGAAAGAACACTTAATAAATGGGTCTGGGGCCAGCAGGTGGCATGGTGGGTAAGGGCACTCAACTCCCACATGGCCAACCATGGTTCAAGTGCTGGACCTGGTGGTTTGCCTTCTCACTTTCCCTCTCTCTCTGTCCCTGTCTGATCAAACTGAAAAACAACAATAACAGTAATAATAGTAAATAAAGTTAAATAAAACTAATTTTTTGTAAAAAGGGTCATAGCCATGTAGTTATGCCTGACATTTTAAATTCTAGTGCTCTAAGTTCTCTGAAGCCGTCCCAAGACCACTGACAATTGCTCTTACTGCAGAAGCACTAAGGTTTAGATGAGAAACTATCCCAGAGCATTGAATACAAAGGTAAGGAGGGATGCTGGAAATTACATACACATGACTAAACTTGGGCAGGCTGAAAAGTATACTGCCAAGTTAACCAGGAAGCATCTTCAAGAGAAGAGGACCTTAACCAGAACACTGTCATAAAAAGTATTGTCTGGCAGGTCCCCAGAGATCTTCAGAGAAGGACTTTGCTGGGTTCAGAGTGCAGGTGAGTGGCAGAGCCTAGGGGACAAGCAGTGAAGAAAAGTGAAGAGAAGGGGCGCTTCCAAAATTGTGCAGAGATATTTGACAAAACTAACCACCCCTGAATGCAGACACCCAAATGGATATGGTCACCTGCAGCAATGTTTCTCAACCTTGTATTCACAAATGAATCCCCTGGAGGATTTGTGAAAGAAAAAGATTGTCAATCAGTAGGTCTGGGGTGGAGTTCACGCTCACAAGTGAGGCTGATGCTTTTAGTCCACCGAACACACTTTGAGTAGCTAAGGGGTAAAGAGGCCATGCCCTTAATCTTTTCTTTCCCATCATTAAGCACCTCTGAGAGGCCTCAGGGGATAGACAGATTGCTGGGCACAGTAGAAAGTCACCTTTTCTATTTTATGTAGGCCTCCTTATCCTTAATAGTGCTGCCTGACTGGATGAATTTTACTTTGCTGTAAAAACGTTAGCAGTGGTGCCAGCAGGTGGTGTGTTGGTTAAAGGCACTGGAATCCCACATGGTCGACCAAGGTTCGAGTCCTAGACCTGGTGGCTTGTTTTCTCACTTGTCCTCTCTCTCTCTCTCTCCCTGGTTAAATTTTAAAATAATAATAAGGTTAAAATAATTCTTAAAAAAAAAAAACTTTAGCACTCTTTCTGAAGAATCATTTTCTCTCGAAGAACAAAGATTTGCTGCCTTGGAGAATCTTCCAATGAGCCAGTCTCAGGATGTACCCATAAAAGTGGGCTTCAAAAAAGTTTCAAGCAGCAATACCATCATTAAAAAGAGTACATATTTTTACATAAACAATAATCATTTAGATGTTTAAGGTTGGGAGTGTTTGCAAAACCTTATCTTGTAGTCACTTTCCCACATTGTATATAGTCCCTAGGCATGGCCATAGAAGTTTTCCTCCAGGTTTGAATTTCAGGAGAGGACACGTATCTAATCCCCAAGTGCTAAGAAATTTCACAATTGTTTTCAAGAGGCACAAATTCATTTGCAGGAGTAAGAGGTTTAGCTTTACCAGAAAGCAATAAATCCATCTAATTTCCTAAATCTTTAGCCACAGAAAACATGGAAAGATGGTTTGCTCGTTTTAGCACAGTTTCAACCACACAGTCCTAACTCTTTTAAAGTTTAATTACTGGTTTTCCCCTGCCAAAATAAATATGACCTCCTGCATCCTGTATATGCCAAAGAATGTTTCCAAACTTGCTATATTTCAAAATGTACCCACAGTCTCCTAAATATAGGACTTTCTTCCTGAGTAACTTTCAAGCTAATGAAATATAGGGACTGTCTAGGAAAAAGAAAAAGGGTAATGGTTCAGGAAGCCTAAAATTTTAGAACATCTCTCACCTCTTTCTAAGATGTTTGATTCTTTTTCATAGAAGTACCCTTTTATCATCATATATACTCTCTGCATACTTCATTTTCATCCAGAGTCAATAACAAAACGTGAATCACAGTACATTTTCAATCTTGGGAGGAAAACTTGTTTTCCTTCATGGTAATTTTTTTTTAGTTTTTTTTTTCATTTAATCATTCTACATCTTTACAGCATATAATATGGTTTTTCAAAGTATAAATGCCAGATAACTTTTCATTCTTGTGTCTGTAAATGTTTTTCTTTTTCCTTTTTATTTCTTCTTTTCTCCTGAGCCCCTCCCTTCCATCCCTTCCACATTTATTTTTAAATCAACTAGAAAGGCAGGATTAAAATCGCATCCCATCACAGCTACTGGATTAAAAAGGAATTGAAGAATACCACGAAAAGGTGCAGTTTCGAGGGCTAATTTGTATTTGTGAATTCGATTTCACGATTTGGCCAGGCAAACATGAACAAAAGTCAAATGGAAAGAAATTCCAACATGGTTTTCACCACCACGTAAAGTCTTTCCTCGCAAAATAAATCAAAGTATCTATGAGCTCATAAACACTCATTTTGCTGAATATAGTGTGTATATATACATGTAATTTTTTTTTCCCAGTGTAAATGAATCCTCCAGCCACTCAGAGCCACTTTAGACCCAGTGTGCCCTCTGGACTATACACTTGGTACTCGAGTGTATTTATTCATTTAGTTTCCTACACAATAGCCTTCTCTTAATTGCATATTTGATAGAAACTAAAGATGCACCATCTACTCACACAGCAAACAGTCATACACCTGCATTATGACGAGGCTTGCAGAATAAAGCACCAGGAAACTTCTTGACACACGCCCAGTTCCCTGGCCTCTAGCGCAGACTCCACTTACCTAGAAAGATGACCGTGCCCAGTACCAGGGTGCTGCCGACGAACACGCCTAGGGCGATGCGAGTGCCTCTGTTGGCTGTCTTGCCAGTGTCCACACTGCTGCCTGTTTCTGCTTCCATCGGAAGGGCCGTGGAGGGCACTCGAGAAGAAAGTCACTTTTCGTGGGCTGGTGGCTGGTCTCAAAAGAGTCTGTTAGGTGTTGACATCCAAGGCGCTCTCGCTCTTCCACTAATGGACGGCTGAAAATATTCCCGTCAGGAAATCTTCCCTCGCCACCCTTTCTCAAATAATTCTCCACAAATGAAATCAAAGAAACCCCAAGTATTGGTTGCCTTGGCTTTCCCCCTGACTAGACAAAACAAACAGTGGTTGCTCTATCTTGGTGCTCTCCCTCTCAACCGATCATCTGGCAGCCTCTTCTCCTAAGCGTTCTGAGTATACATGTTTTACTATGTTGCTGAACAGATGTTTTAGTTATCTAAATGTATAGTCACTTGGGGAGGAAAAAAACAATTGTCTTTATCAAAACTGGATTCTCGGCAAAGTCCCCCAAACCATGATAAGTTAGGTGGCAAGGAGTTGCCCAACTCACTTCAAGACCTCAATTAATCATGCAATTCTGTTGCAATAATCATTCTGCTTGCCTGAACTGCCTTCATCAAAGATAGTTTTTCAATGTGGGAGTCCCTTTTTAAAGCCTTCTAAGAGTCCCTAGGATATCCTGGAGCATTTTATTTTAGGAACTTTGTGTATGATAGCATGTGCCAAAAATCAGAGTCATCGTCCAGTGCAGTGCAAAGTAGCAATTAAGACAACCTACAGAGGCTGATGGTTTGAACTGGAACTTTTTTTTAAGGAAGAAGAGAAAGAAAATCATCTTTGTGGGTGCTAAGAATTGGACAAAAGACAGTGAAGTGGAGGAATTGCCCTTATTAGCAACCACAAAAGACAGGCTGAAAGATTTCTTTTCCTGGCATGTTTTGCTGAGAAGTACACCCGTATATTTTGTCCTCTAGTCCCACTGAGGCAGCACTGCTAGAACATTTTTGTGTTTACATAAAGCATCCGTTTCAGTGGATTCCCCAGGGTCAATTCAGAGGCAATTGGTTTCACTGGAAAGATTAATTCATCAGTGGGTCTTTGATTTCTTTGAGTACGATCAACAATTTACATTATGAATATCTGCTTTCTTTGTGGGGAAGGGCAACTGATATTCCAATGTGACTGATATGATATATGTATATTACCCAACAATATTGATATCATTAATTCACAACATAATTACTGCCTACCTGTTTTTGGTTTGCTGGAGGTCATAGGACAGTGGCAGTGGGGATGGAGGATTCAGCTACATCTAGAAACCAGTAGAGCCATTTTCTCAATGCAAAACACGTGCACATATGGCTTTGGGCATCATGCCAGAGCTCAGCAGGTGCCAATGAGCTGAATATAACATGGTCACACGTTCACCATCCTATCTGGCTTATTTTTGTCTGGGATACTCCCAGGTTTGGGAATTTAATCCATAACACATCCTACCTTATTTTTAGTTCATTTCATGATGCCCCAAAGTCAGAAAAGTCTTTGCCCAAGTTATAACATCATAATATATTCCAGCTCTTCCGTGCTCATTGGCTATTGTTACTTGGTTGCTGTTAGTTGGAAACACATCCTAGCAAGACTTTGGTCCCTGGCATGAGATTCTCCCAGGAGTTTCTGGACTTGACTCCATAATACACTTTAGACTGTGAGCTTCAAGAGTTTAGGAACCACAATGTCAGGTTCAATGCTGTAGTTCCAGCATGGACCATTACTGGCCCATCTTGGTGAAAGGAAAAATAAAAGCAATGAAAATCATACTCTCCCGACTCCCCCATCCTCCACCAAGGAGGATGGCCACACCAAAATCTCTTCTCCATTCTCCTCCTGGGATTTTGGGCACACACATACATACACACCTGATGTGATCATCAGGCTCCAGGTCTGGGACTCAAACCACAGTTGGCCGTGAGGGAGTCCAGTGCCTTAACCACCACACCACTTTCTGGCTCCACCACTTACTCTTCTTCTTTTTTTTTTTTTCTTTTTTTTTGGAGAGGTTTTTGTTATAGGGCACGTGCGCTCGCCAGACAGACAGAGAGAGAAGTGTGTGCACTTGCTGGAGAGAGAGACCACCCCCGTGGGGCACGGGGACGGCCGCTACAATCCCTTCTTCTCCATCCTCCTCTCGGGATCTTGGCATCCACGCACACATGCCCTGTTTGAGTTTAAGCCACCGGGTCTGGGACGCGAACCACGGTCAACTACGTGGGAGTCCAGCGACATAGCCATTATGCTGATCCCCACCACTTACTCGTCTAAAAAACACTTTCAGGAAACAAATGTGAGTGACTGAGAGAGTCTTCAGTTTGCTAACTCCTTCTAAATGCTCAGCTAGTAATGACACTTCACTTTCTTTTTTAACCTCATGATAAATCTATGTACATTATAACAAAGCTTTTTTTTTTTTTTTGGTAGAGGTTTTTGCCTTAGGGCGTATGCACTCACCCACAAGAGAGAGAGACAGTGAGAGGGAGAATGAGAAATCACCCCCCAGGGAGGATGGCCATGTCATAATCCCTTCTCCTCCATTCTCCTTCTGGGATCTTGGGCACGCACACACACACACCCAGCATGAGTTTCAAGCCACCAGGTTCAGAACTCCAACTGTGGTCCGCCATGTGGGAGTCCAGTGACATAATCGCTAGGCCATATGCTGGCCCCAACAAAGCTATTTTTAATGGTTTTACAAGTGAGGACAGTGAAATCCAGGAATGGCTTCAGGTGGCATGGGAAAACCAGAAACAGAAAAATGGAAAAGTAGGATTATTTTCCTACACTGAGTGTCCACGGCTTCACAAAGCTCCCTGTGCACAAAGCTCCCATGACACCAGGACCCACACGTTCCATCTTTCCTCCTGTCTGCAAAACTCACACCTTTAGGGGGCCCGACTGGCATGAAATAGTGGTCGTGGGTTGCCAGCTGGAGTAGCCTTCACCTGCCTTGGACTTGGCAAGGCTCCCAGAGGGGCAGGCAACTTGAGACTTCCCCTGCAGTTGTGCCTATCCATCACTTACCCACAGGACTTCATTCCTGAACACTCAACTACTGCATAAAAAGCCATTAAACCAATAAATACTTCTATTAATTGTAACAGGAAAACTATGGTACACTCCATCCCCAACATAGATATATAAACACAACACAGATGGGAACATGTATTATTTGAACCTTGAGGACATCTATAAAAATAATTTTTGAGATGTTGAAACTTAATAAAGTGGGAGCAGCAGATGGTGTAATGGTTACATCAGTGGATTCCCATGTAGACAATGTGGACGACTACAGTTTGAGTTGGACCCAGTGCCTTAAAACTCGAACCGAGCTCATGTGCATGCGTGCCCAAGATCCTGAGAGGAGAATGGAGAAGGGATTGCGGTGTGGCCATCCCCCCTGAGGGGTGATGTCTCACTTTCTGTCTGTCTGTCTCTCTCTCTCCAATGAGCACATGCACCCTAGTGCAAAAATTTCTCAAAAAAATGAATATAGTTTGTATAAGGTAATATAAAGAAGGTTTCTTTCACTCAACGAAGACATAAAGGAAGATTTGAGAGTGCGTGGGACTGATAGAGGGAAGGGTGTGGGTGAGTCATTTATTATAAGGTGCATTCTTCATTCTGTGCCATTGTCTGCATTAATTTTTCAACCTTTTGCGAAATGATTAGCTTACACTCAGAATAAACTGCACTTAAAAATGCTGACTGAGGGACCAGCAGTTAGCATAATGGCTATGTCACTGGACTCCCACGTAGTCGACCACGGTTCGAGTCCCAGACCCGGTGGCTTAAACTCAAGCCGGGCGCATGTGCGTGCATGCCCAAGATCCCGAGAGGAAAATGGAGGAGAAGGGATTGCGGTGTAGCCATCCTCCGTGGGGGGGGGGTGGTGATTTCTCGCTTTCTGTCTCTCTGTCCCTGTCTGTCTGGCGAGCGTACACGCCCTATAGCAAAAACCTCTCAAAAAAATTGCTGACTGGAGCAAACCAGACTATGAAAGTGAGACAGACCGACTGTCCACACTATGGTGGAAACTGAGAGATTAGAGGACATAGAAGCATTCAAAATGGTTATAGATTCAGGAGAAAATGTGGGAAGAGGGTGGGAGAAGAGGGGGAGAAGGGTAGGAGAGGCAAGACATTTATGGAACACAGAAATGGGCTATTATCTGGTGATGATAATGTGGTTTGTATCCTCAACTGGACTGGTGTGAAGCATATTCATGTTGGGTAAATTCAACTTACGAGCAAAGTGATGTACAGTAATTAAATGTATAAAAAAAAAATTTAGAGAGGTTTTTGCTACAGGGCACGTGTGTTCACCAGAAAGACAGAAAGAGACCAAGAGACAGAAAGCAAGAAATCACCTCCCAGGAGGGATGAGCATGTTGCATTCCCTTCTCCTCCATTCTCCTCTTGGGATCTTGGGCACGCATGCACATGCGCCCAGTGTGAGAGTCTAAGCCACCGGGTCCAGGACTTGAACCACAGTCGACTACATGGAGTCCAGAGACATAGCCATTATGCCAGCTGCTGGTCCTTACCAGGTGTTTTTT